ATCAGGACCACAGTCCCCTGCATGGAGTCTGCTCTAACTCACCTGCCCCCACCTGGGCTCTCTCCTTCCTCCCTGGACCCGTCCCCCAGGCCAGGCGCATCTCTCCAAGCCCTGCATCCCCCTCCCACCTTAGGGCTAACAGACCCCTCACAAAACTGTGAGCCTGCTGCTCCCCACACCCCAGGAGGCAGCCCCACCTCCCCTAGTTGCTGAGCCCAGACACCTGGGGCCTCCCAGTCCCCCAGTTTCCTTGTGCCCCAGTGACTGTCAGCTCCTCCTCTGGAGTCTATGGCCAGTCCCCACAGTAATGCCACTCTACAGCCACAGACTTGACCGTGGCCCAATCCGATCTTGTGCCCAGCTCCTCCATCAGGCCCTGACAAAGCTCCTGCTCCCATGGTGCATCTCACATCCCATCCCAGCGTGGCCTTCACGAACCAGAAATGAGACCGTGACTCCCACCTGTAATCCCCAAAGATTTCCTCACTTTGGCTGGGCTGTCTGCAGGAAAGGACGTCCGCTGGGGCCCTGAGAGTCCCCAGCACCCTCGCTAGGGTGCTGATTCCTGGTTCTGAGAGGGGTCTGCCCATGTGAGCACCGTGGGCTGCTGGGTGCCTGCCTAGGTGAGCTCCATATCCTAGGAGGGGCCTGCCCACTTAAGCCCCATGCTCTGGGAGGGGTGTGTGAACAAGCATCCTCTTTTTGCTGCCAGCACAGAGGTGTTTAGCAACTCACCCATGGGCAGTGCTGGGATGAGGTGAGAACCAGGAGATGCTGCAGGTCCCTGAACCCCACCTGGGCCCACCCAGAGTGACCAGGTCAGCGGTTGGGTGCTGGCTGCTCTGCTGTGTGAGGGTGGCTCCTGTTTCTTCTATCTGATGCCACAGAGACCTCCTCAGGACAGAGCAGACAGACTGCCTCAGGCAGGTGTGGGTTCCTGTTGGCCCTGCAGGGGACACAGGAGAGGGATCAGGCAGACCCATGGGTCTTGTGGCCCATGGGGCTCTTTCTGGGCCTGAGCTGGAAGTGGACAAGCAGGTGGTGGGTGTGCGTGGTGACCTAGGAAAGCCTCCCTGGTGAACCCCTAACCCTAACCTGAGTGCAGGCTCTGAGCACATCCATGCACTTGCCCAATTTCTGTCCAGGGGACAGTCAGCCTCAATTATGCTGGAATATATTGGGGTTCCTTGGAGGCCCTGAGTGGGCTGCCCAAAGCTGCAGTCCTTGGAATGCGAAGAGTCACTTTTCCTCTCATCTTTTTAAAAAAAACTTTTTTTCATTGAGGTTACTTTGGTTTATAACATCTTATGTCTTCATGTGTACCACACTACAGTTGTACTTTTGTATACACTAGAGTGAGCGCACCACCAGAAGTATATTTCCCTTCATCACCATACAGTTCGTCCCCTTCACCCACATCTCCCTTTTCCCACCCCTTCCCCTCTGATAACCACTACTCTGTAGCTACCTGTTTGCTTTCATTTGGTTTGGTTTGTTCATGATTTTGTTTGTTTATATTCCACATGTGAGTGAAATCACCCAGTAATTGTCTTTCTCTGTCTGACTTACTTCACTTAGCATAATGCCCTCATGGTCCATTCATGTTGTTGCAAATGGAAAGACTTCATTCTTTTTTATGGCAGAGTAGTATTCCATTGTGTGTATCTATACATACACCACATCTTCTTTATCCATTCTTCCATTGATGGACACTCAGGTTGCTTCCATATCTTGTCTGTTGTACACAACGCTGCAGTGAACATAGGGGTGCATGTATCTTTTCTAATTAGTGTTATTGTTTTCTTTGGATAAATACCCAGGAGTGGAATTGCTGGACCGTATGATAGGTCTATTCTTAAATTTTTGAGGAATCTCCATACTGTTTTCCGTAGCAGCTGCACCAATTTACATTCCCACCAATAGTGTACGATGGTTCCCTTTTCTCCACATTCTTACCAGTGCTTGTTATTTCTTGTCTTTTTGATAAGAACCATTCTGACAGGTGTGAGATGCTATCTCATTGTGGTTTTGACTTGCATTCCCTAATAATTACTGATGTTAAATGTCTTCTCCTGTGCCTATTAGCCATATGTAAGTCTTCTTTGGGAAAATGTCTATTCAGATCCTCTGGACGTGTTTTAATTGGGTTGTTTGCTCTTTTGTTGTTGAGTTGTATGCATTCTTTACATATTTTAGATATTAACCCCTTACTGGACACATGACTTACAAATATCTTTTCCCATTCTGTAGGTTGTCTTTTCATTCTGTTGGTGATTTTCTTTGCTGTGCAGAAGCTTTTTAGTCTCACATAGTCCCACTCGTTTATTTTTGCTTTTGAAGTGTTGCTTTCCTTCAAAGGTTGAGGTTCCAGTTTCATTTCTTCTCTTTAGAGAATCTAATCTAAGTTTGTGGATCCCAGTGCACCATCAGACTCGCCTCACTGGGGTGCTGGCAAGACATTCAGAAGCAAACCAGTAAGTCCAGCTCCATCAGTGATGGGAGGAATACGTGCTCCTACAGTGGTGCCCTATGAGGACCATCCACATCCAAAGGGCGGGTGTGACGGGCGGGGCCCTGAGCCACAGTGCAGTGGGAGCGAGACCTCGAGATGGGAGGCCTCAGAGGCCTCGGCCTAGCTGGTCCACAGCTCCTGCTCGCAGTGGCTGTGCCTCCTGCTCTGGGCCTCCCTGCCCACTGCTCCCAGCCCCTCTGTGGATGAGTTCTACTGGACCTCGTTCTCATCTCGTTAGGTCCCTCCAGACCCGCAGGGTGATTCCAAATGAGGGGTGTGTGGCTCAGAGGTTCAGACACCTGCCCAGCCTGCTGTGGTCCTGGCCAACCAGGACCTGTCCAGCCAGGGTGCTGTAGCCTTGCCTCCCCGCCCATCTAGGGGCTGCCCTCTGCCTGCACGATCCAGCCAGTGTGTGGTTTCCTGGTGACAGTGTAGGGTCCCTGTGGAGCCTGTGAGATGACACTGAGCTGAGGGAGAGGAGACACTGCCCAACCTGCACCCAGCAGCCAGCTCTGCTCTCAGCTGCCTAACCCTGAGCCCTAACCCTAGCCCTGACTTTGACCCTGACATTTTCCATGACCCTGACCTTGACCTTAGCCACGACCCTAACCCTAAGCCTAACTGCCTAAACTCAGATCGGCTAGACAGACATCATGACTATATGTGGTGCTCTGGATGGGATCCTAGGACAGAAAAGGCAGAATAAATGGAACTTCAATAAAACACGGATCTCAGTTAATGATGAGGTACCAATACTTGTTCATTAAATGTGACAGTTCTGTACAAAACGAGAGAGGGGAAGTGAAAAGTTAAGTAGAGAAACCGATTGCATTAACTGGAAACCTAGAAGATACGAGTGATTTCCTAACAAAGCTAATATGTTAACAGAATGGACCCTAAAGTAAAGGAAATACAGACAGACCAGTCAGCCACCCAGAGGCCCCATCCCCTGGGTCCTCCTTTCATTGTCCCGAGGTGTTCTTCTCCCTGGACAGAAGAAGAACAGGGGCAGAGCCATCGGGCATTCCCCTCAGACCTGGGCCACCCAGTGTCTCCATCTTCCCCAGCCAGGCCCCACCCAGTGAGGCATCCAAGGGAGTTTCATGGATTATTGATTTTGATGTGTCAGCTAGGAATTTTTTTAATGCAAAGGACTGGACACAATTATTGAAGTAAAATTAACACTTTTTAACTGGTAGAAATAAATTAAGTGGGTTGGACCCAGAAGGTCAAAGGGCTCACACTCTCATAGTGTGAACTGGTTGCTCTCCAACCTTCCACCCTACTCATTTCTTTTGGGTGACCCCATTCACAGACACAGTCTTTCTCAATTTATCCTGGGCCTCCGGCAAATTCATATAGTATAATTTGTAATACTTTTAAAACCCCCATTTGTCCTGGGTTCTTAGATTCATTACAAATTCCTCAGGGGCGAGGATTTGGGTTTTGGCAACCCCGCTCCCAGAGCTCTCCAGATGGTAAGCACTGACCACAGTGCTAACAGCTGAAGCCTTCTTGCTGCTGACATACTCCTTTCTCTACCAGCCTCGGCAGAAGTCTTTTCTCATCAGACAGGCCTAGAGGTGCTTCTGACCCTCTCCCTATCCCTTTTACTTTTACCTGTGCTAAGCTATGCTCTAGGGGTTTGCCTCCCTGCGGAACCTTTGCCCAGACCATCTACCAGCTGGCAGCTGTACAGACAGGTGGGCCCAAGGTGTCAGGCCTCCGGTGATTCCCCTATCATCTACGACAAAGTTAAAAATCAGCCAAAATCACGTCCCTTCCCTGGCAAGGGGTGGAGGCAAACAAAACCTCGGCGGGAGCGAGCAAGGGAGAAAAAGTGCGGGCGCCAAGGTGGGAATGAAGCGCGCCGGGCAGGTCGGCGCTGCTTCCCTTCCCCGCTCTGGATTTTGCAGACAGAAGCGCGCACCTAGCCGCGTCTTTGGGGGCGGGTCCGCGGGAGGATCCTTGAGGTGCCGGGCAAGGAATGGCGCCGAGTTCTCGGAGACCGGGTCCGCAGAGCTCTGGGGACAGGTCAGCAAGGAGTGGGGTGAGTACTCGGGGCACAGGGCGGGTCCTTGAAGCCCGCGGGGTGGATCATAAGGACGTGAGGCGGGTCCTTGGGGCTGGTGGGGCGGTCCTAGGGACGTGGGCCGGGCTTTTCCGGTGTGGGGCGGGCCCTCGGGGAGCAGGGCGGGACATCAGGGGCGGGTCCTCGGGACGCAGGGCTGGACGTGACTCCTTGGGGTTCGTGGGGCGGGTCCTAGGGGGATGAGTGCTCGGGGCGCGGGGCCGGTCCTCGGTTCGAGGGGCGGGGCGTGAGGCCGGGCCCTCTGGGCGCGGGGCGGGGACTGAAGGCGGATCCTCTGGGCACCGGGCGGGACGTGGGTCCTAGGGGCTTAGGGGGCGGGACCTCGGGGCGGCGCGCGCCGGCGTCCCCCGCTCCTCCCGCGCGCGGCCCCTGGAGTCCCCAAGGCGCGCGGCCAGCCCAGCTCTGGCCGCTGCACTTAAGCAGCCCGGCGGCCGAGCGCGCGCGGGCCGGGGCCGGGGCCGCGGCGGGGGGCGCCGCACCCAGGGTCCTTCTGCAGCCCCCGTAGCGAGAAGCGAGGGCGAAGACGAGGCTGAGCGGGTCCGGAACCATGAACCGGAGTTTCCACAAGTCTCAGACCCTGCGCTTCTACGACTGCAGCGCGGTGGAAGTCAAGAGCAAGGTGAGTCGGGGGCCGGCGGTCTGCGCCCCCCAACCTGCGAATGAATGGGCGCCCGCAGGGGATTGGGCGGTGCGAGAGGGACCGGCGCGGGCGACAACTTTGGAGCGCGGCGCCGTCCATGGGATGTGCAGGGGTCCGGCAGTCCTTCCCGCCCCTGCGCGCACACAAAGCCCGGCAGCCCCATAGGATCCAGCTGGAGCCCCGGCGCTCAGAGGGCCGTGCTGCCGCCGGACCCTTCGCGGGAGAGGCTCTTTTGTTCCACAAGCCGGAGGCAACCCGGCGCGCCGCACGGTGGAGGGGCGACGTTTCCGGGGCGACCTGAGGGCTGCTAGGATTTGGGGCCATGGAGGGGCCTCGGGAGCCCGGGCGAGGGAGGGCCCTGACCGCGCCGCCTCCGTCGCTGCGGAGGAGCCTCGCAGTCGGTGAGGGGGAGACGAGCAGCGGGTCCCCAACCTCGAGGCCAGACCCCAGCCCCAGGCCCGCCCTGCGTACCAGCCCCTGAGCCTCCCGGCGCGCCCCAGGCCCAGATTCCCCGGGCGCGACAGACGGGCGGCCCCTCCCGCTGCCCGCGCCCTGGCCCAAGCGTGCCTGAACTTGCGGGTAGCTGCGCGTTTAGGTAATTGGCTGATAGGATCTGGCGCTTCTGCCCTTTGCGGGGGTGGCTTCTTCACCGCAGACGCTTTTGTCTGCGAGGGTCCCGGTGGTGGACCCCACGGCAGAGGAGGAGCTGCCGTTGTTCAGGGTCCTGGAGGAGGGGGCCCTTGAGCTGACTGTTGCCTGGGAGCCCGCTCTGGCCCTTTCTCTCTGCGCCCCCTGCCCACCCTAACCCCCCCACCCCGCCGTCCCGGTAAAGCAAGAGAGAGGCACTTGAGTGGTGGGAGAGCAGCCAGACCGGAGAGTGGGCTCTGACCTCCAACTCCATGCACACTTGGGGCATGGGGTGGGTGTGCCCTGGCCAGGTGTCTGGGAAGAAGAGTCCAGAGGCCCTCCTGCCTGGGTTGCCCTGCCAGCCAAGCGGGGGTCCTTTGGTTTAGGATTTACAGGGCTTCCTCCGAGGATGGGGGCGGTTCTCTGCAGAAACCCCACTGCAGCTGAGTTGAAGAATTTCCTCACCATTTTATCGGACAGTCTTTTTTTTTAAACCCTTCATATCTAATTTCCCCGAATGCTAATTCTGTGACCCTCGCCCTGCACTCACCCCTCTTTTAGCCCCCAAGTCACAGGTGCCTACTGTGAGGTGTGTGAGGGGAAGAGCCGACGAGCATGAATGGGAGCGCCAGGTAGTCGGTGTTTCTTTAGCTCAGTGAGAATGTGGCTTTTTAGAGCTCACTGGCCTCTGCAGTGCCCACTGAGCACAGGAAGTGTTTCATTTTATTTTAATTTTTTATTTTGAGACCATTATAGATTAACAGGCAGTTGTGAGAAAGAATACGGAAACGCCCTTGTAGCACACTGTCACATCCAGAACCTCACTGCAGTCGTTCGCGGGTGTTTTCAGGTCTTGCACTTTTGTCGCGTGCACATCCGTGGGCCCAGCACAGTCACCAGACAGAATGCTTCTATCACAAGGGGACCTCCTGCTGCCCTTGCCTAGTGGCCACTCACTTCTAAGTGTAAGTTGGCTCACATTAACGTCACACACTATTGTGACTCTCACTGGCCGCATCCCTGTGCTCAGTGGCCATGTGTGGCTTGCAGCTGCCTGACCAGATGCACAATTGCAGAGGGACAGCCCTGGAGGAAGTGCCCTCACCAGGTCCTGTCCTGCAGTCTGGACTGTCGGCAGCGTGTGGACCGCTGGGGCTGGAGAGGAAGGGTCTGCCTTTTGCTTTTGCCTCTCCTCAGGGACTGGGGGCTGTGGGTGTTCTGTTGGCCTAGCAGGTTGCCTCAGGCTGCCCCACCTCCTCTACTCCCTGACCCTGGGTTCAAGCTCAGATGCAGTGAATGCTCCCCTGGAGGCAGTGGGACTGCCAGAGATTTAGGTGAATTTGAGAGTACCCCTGGAAGGCCACAGCAACACAGCAACCTGGGCCCTGCTGGGCTGGCTGGTTAGACACACACACACACACACACACACACACACACACACACACACACACACACACACACACACACACACACACACACACACACACCACCACCTACTACACGACACGTACCGTTCCTTCCGTTACGTCGCGACGGCGTCACGTCTCTTCCTTCCACGTCACCTCCCGTCCGT